GACTCCACACAGCTGTCAGATGGCTCAGCCTGGGGAAAGTGCTGAAGAGGGTTTGGGATTTGAAAGCAGAGATTCAGGATCTCTGATGGATTTCTACTCTTCTCTTGAGGAGGAGAACTTTCCAAACCTGAGGAGACATGCTCAGAAGATGTTGGTTCTCTTTGGCTCTACCTACATTTGTGAACAAACATTTTCAATGATGAAGTTTACAAAATCCAGGTAAAGATCCTCTCTCACTGATGATCATTTGTCAGCTGTGCTTCGCGTCTCCACCTCAGACATTCAACCTGACTTTGATGCACTCGTTAAAGCCCAGCAGAGACTAGATTTCTCTCACTGAATAAGAAAAAAATTGCTTAAAAACACAAAATAAGGTGTTTGGACCACAAATGTAGGCAACTAGCAGTGAACTGGGACACTTTTTTTTTAAACCTCTTTCTCAAGATCACAGTTCAGTGATTTTATTTTACAGACAACACTGTGTGTCTGTAGAATGCTAAGAACCTCTTTCCAACAATAATTGAAACTCAAAATGTGTTTTGGAGTGAATGTGACTAAAACTGTTAACTAATATAAGTCACAAATGTTTAACAAAAACCAAATGCGCACTTTGTTTACCATTGCCTTGGGAAATTTGAATAAATCACATTTTTGTAAGCCAACCTCACTTTTCCTTTTTGCTCATTTATAACATATAGTCCACTCTTACCAGCTTGAAAAAACGATGGTATTTACTGCTTTTTATAAAGAAATACCATTAATATTATGCATAATTGACTTCAGCCTTTTGGCCTGGCCCTCCACAATATTTTCTATTTCTCATGTGGCCCCATGGAAAAAATAATTGCCCACCCCTGTTCTAGACCATAAAGTCCTGCGAGACATGACCGTTTGCCACCGGGATAAAGTCCAAAAATTACACTAGAGAAAAAAAGGCTCACTAGTGAGTATGAATGCTACTGAATCAGGAAATCCTATTTAAAACGTTTGGGAAAGTTTCTGCAACACAAGTCAATAAAACACGGATTTATATATTCACAATGTTTTTGTTATAGTTCACACTTTAAAGACACATTGCGCAAAATTTACACCTTAAATTAATGTTTTATGAAAAGGTTTTAGCATTATACTGTCATCTATTATGATCATTTCTGGAAGTACCGACTGCATGCTGCTTCACGGCAGTATCACGTAGACCCCATAGACATTTGTGTTATGGCCACCAGCCTGGCCTCTTCAGGTGCAGGAGCCAGGATCACCCAGCCCCGGTGATCAGCCCGACACCGCCTCTCCTCCTCCTCTCTTCCAGGCTGCTGAGGAGCACAGCTGAGCTGAATCCCTCTGACAACCCACACCTGGGATAAAAAGGCTGTGCCTTCAGCAGTCTGGGAGGCAGCAGTGCAGGGGTTCTGCTGTGCTCCAGGCCTCACGCTTTGTTTTGAACCCCTTTTGTGTATTTTAGAAGATTTATGTGGTCGTTTTTAAGGTTAACTTCGTAGTTTACCGACTCTGGGATTTTAAAACACTGTGTTTTTGTAGTACGTCGGTTTTTATTATCAACTTTGAGGTTTTGAAAAACTCCTTCTAGTCTGGTAAAACTTTTAACAAAGTTTTAACCAGGGGTTTTTATGTTGATAATTAGTCCTTTAAATGTTAACCCCTTAGTCTTGGTTTTCGTTTGGCATTATTTTAATAATGCTTACCATCTGTTTGCCCTTGTTTTTAGAACCTTTTATAACAATTAAACCCATTTTAAACCCACTATCATCTTTCTTATGTTACCCCCTCCTTCACATTTTAACACCTCCTGTCGGGGACGTAACATTTATCTGTGGTTGACCTGCAGTTTGGAGACTTGAGCAACGGCAGATCCACCAAAGAAAGCTAGAAAACACTTATCAGAGGAATCTAGGAAAAGAAACTGCGAACAAGCTAGAGCAAGAGCAAAGACCAGAGTTAATAATGGGCTGGCTATTTCTCGCTGGAGAGATCTTCTTGAAAGAATGGCATGTACTACGGACTCTGACCTAGCCGTGCTGCTAATGGATAGGTAAGTAATAAATGATTTCACCGGGATTATTGTGTTTGGTCGGGCATAAAGTTGTCCTGTTAAAACTTTATTCTAAGCTGCTTAATGTGTTTGTTTGTGCATGCGAGTTGGAAAACAGCCAGTACACATGCCTCTTATGCCCAGCAGAGATATTTGATTTTACGACAGTGACGTTACGCAGCAAGCCTTGAGAGGGCGACAGAGAGCACATATCCGTTCAGGAATGCGTCTTTAACCTGGAGCACAAATGTTCTGAAAATGAAGATGAACGAGTTTTGATTAACTGGAGTTTTTGTGAATACATGATGTAGGCAGAGGGTTGGAAATGTTTATTTGCACATCGTAGCAAACTAATCACAGCAGGAGCCTCATCAAGCTCAAAGGTCTAATGGAGCTTATTAAGTCTGGGTTTGACCCACTTACCCTCTGAATAAGAAGATGAGAGAAACTACCTTCATATTCATAAAGTATAAATTAGCATCCTTAACATTTTTATTCTCTCTGTCATCCCTTTACCTATAAACTAGAACACATGGTCTTTCACCCCTTTGAAGATCTGAATGAATAACAAGGGCTGCAAATGTAAGGTTTATTATATCGTTATTATTGTTTATTATGAAATATTTCAATCTGGATTTGTAACAACACTGAGAAGTGCACGCATAGATATGCAAGAGGTTTACTGGTTTCCATGAATAACACCAAATTATTTCTTTAATTGTTTTAAAGAGCAGCCAGGATGCTAAAGGAGATGAGGAAAGATGTAAACGTTAGGGATGAAAACCGAAAGAAATCATGTCAACAATTAGAACCATAGCATTAGAAGGACTGTAAAACTGACCGTTTAAGCGTCAGAGTCGCATTACTGCATTGAACAAGCCACAGCTGCAAGTATAATCCCTGACGAAGGTATTACTTTACACCAGAAGATAGTGGAGCTGTGTAATGTCAATCTGAGCAACACCTTAGGGTGTTTCTATTGAAAGTTTTGGAGATTATTGAGTTTAAAAACTGCTCCTCATTCGGAGACTTCTGACTGAGGAGAGGAGACGAGCAGAGCAGAGAGGAGAGACTTACAATGCTGCCAGGTCTGTTCACTGTTGACAAAGCTCTTTGTCTGGTAACGGCTGACTCTGATTCTGATTCTGAAGAGGAATATTCACCCCCTAATCAAGATATTCACATCCAGTGAGAAAGAAAGTGACGCTGCAGCAGCAGAGTGCGTGTGCTTCATGAGAGTAAACACGCTTCACACACGATCCAAAGCTTATTTCATCGTGTTCAGGACATGGTGGGTGTAGAAAGCATGGTAAACACATCTAATAGTTACAGACGTAGCGGGAATGTAAAAAAAAGAAAAAGCGCCAGGCAGACACGGTGGGTGTGAAACTGGAAGTAAAAAGTGCATCAGATATTTGATATGAATATTCCAGCCTTTGTAATAAAACAGCATTACTAAAAAGTGAAAAATGTTACTTTAGAAATCAGTACGAATGTCTGACTTTTATAAAGCAAAGAGTAAGTTGTCACATGATGGATGAAACAGGGAAAACGGGGTTCACCTGACGGCCTGTTTCAGCCGTGGTGTTTTGGTGATTCTGGTGTTTCCCTTGGTGCACGGACATTTTCAGTGGCTGAATTTTCAGTGCATCCCTGGTAAACATCACGGTCCTAACTGGACACTGGAGCTGAATTAACATGTAGAGGACGTGTGTAGGCAGCCTGGCTGAAAATGAGCCTTAAAGGTGTGCAAAACACCAATCAATTCTTTTTAGACCTTGTTGTTTGTCTTTGGTTTGAGTACGGACAACGTGTGCATCTTACGCCCTTTTAAGATTGACAGTCTGGAATATGTGTGGACAATTCGGTCCGGTTTTTCAGACACACCACTTTTGTACCTGAACTTGTCCTTTCGGCTGCCTTCACACAGCAGGGAAAAGTTCCAGATGTCTGAGGGGGAGGGGGTGAGAAGGCTGTACCCAGATATTGCGTAAACATGGTGCGGCGGGCGTACATGCGTCATTTACCTTAACAAAGCCATTCAGTCAAACATGGCCGACGAAGAGTTATAATTCCTCTCACTGATCGGACTTATGTTAAGCATAATTCTGCGCACACGAAGACGCATAAGAGACCTGGATGATGAAGCTCAATGGTTAAAGGAATCACGGAAGCGGTGTGAAGCGCTCCGTCGCGCGTCTAGGCGACGGTACCGTAGGAGGTGAGCTGCCATGGTTCGCCGCATGCTACAGGAGCGAGCTATCTAGGTGCGCACAGCGTCCCCCGGTCCCCCCCTCCTCCTCCTCCTCCCTGTCCGGATCTCGACCTCACCAGTCGGTCTGAAGCAGCCACCCTGTCCGTGACAAGTCCGGTCCTGTTACTAGGGGCGTCGTCCGGTTTAATTACGGAAAAGGTTATCCGGATGTTTGTATTCAGACACAAAGGTCTTACGGACAGAGTCCCGAAAATTTCCGTTTTTCATGGCCTGTCTGAAGGGGGCTCTAGAGAGTTTGAAGAGCCCCTTAGTGCCTCTCAGAAACCAACACAAGAGATGATATACAATCACTGACACCAGCTGTAACTTGATAGCTCAGATTAACCAATGGAGTTAATGAAGTATTTGTTTTCTGGTGTTTCACAGTACTTGTGAGTGTTTAATGCTGTAAAGCAGTCAGACTGATCTCAGTTCAGAGAACCAGAAAGTCTCATGAAGCTAAGCGTTAAATCAGCGCTAGGCACATTTAAATGTGACTTTCTGCCAAGTGATACAACTCAGGCTCAAACTTTCTCAGACATCTGAGAGGGAGCTGCAGGCTGCAACTCTAACCCAGCAAGATAACGGTCCCACATCTGTAAATGACACATCTTCTGCTGCATGCAATACTTTAAAAGAGATTAATCAGCTGGAAGATGAAAACACAGTGGAGTCTGTAAACTTAAAGGATCTCACCTGTGTAGTCCTCGGAGCACTCACAGGTGAAGCCGCCCTCCCTGCTGCGACACACACCGTTGGCGCCACACGGTTTGGAGTAACAGAGGTCGATCTCCGTCTCGCAGTAGTCTCCAGTGAAGCCGGTGGGGCAGCGGCAGCGCAGCCCAGCGATGGGGTGGATGGGTCGGAACAGGATGGTATCAGACGACACAAACGGCGCTAGGCTGTCAAACTTCAGCACGGACACACACTTCATGTAGTTCTCACACGGCTCCCGCAGGCAGATGTTGTCATCAAAGGGAAGAACTTCCTGTGAGGAGATCTGCGTCAGAAGGCTGCGGTTCAAGTACAGCCTTTCCTGGAGTTCCTCTGAGCAGAAAAACTCCCCGGTTCGAAGCCCTCTGTCACTCCCAAGACCTTTATGTTGACCCTCTCCAAACACGGGCACAGCCACAGATAAGCTGACGTTAAGGATGCGAGCGCTGACGTCTGTGTCATCCTGGATGTTGAAGACGACCACATCTTCGGGAGAAGCGGACAGGACCCGGGCCACTCCGTCCATGAACTGGGTCAGCAGCAGAGACAGGAAGTGCTCCTGAGAGGTGTTAGCCAGACGTAAGGTGATGCTGTTGGACAGCATCTCATCTGTGATGATGGTGACTTGGAGAAGACACTGAGCCGACACAGAGTGGATCCCATCTGGCAAAAAAGAACAAGCAACATCAAGACGTTTATGGGTAAAGCCCACAGACCAAAGACTTCATGATGAAAACAAAACAAAACCCAGACTTTTCTCCTTGCAGTTCATTTTTCTATCCACACTATGACTTTGTATTGACTTCCATTCATTTTGGTAACTGCATTTATGCCTAACCCTAACCATAACCAGTGTATTCCTAAAGTGAACTGTAACAAAAACTCAATTCACATCTTACCTCTAAACCTCACCCCTAAGCCTAAAGTAGGTGGTCCACCGTATTAGGACCGGGTTTTGGCCCTAATAAGACCCATCAGCCTTCAGAAGATTGGTGAAAATGCCAGTTTATAGGATAGTTAAACAAGTACACACACACACACACACACACACACACACACACACACACACACAACCTTTCGACACAGTCTAGGGAAAAGATCAGTGTAAACAACGCAACTGTATAACTGTATAATCTCACCATTATTTAATATTTCATAGCACCGACAGACTGTAGCTGTGATCTAAACGATGTCCCTATCAGATCTAAAATACATCAACTGGTCCTCATGTGGGTGTTTCCAGCAGAAGGAAAAGGACTCTGGCTCTCTTGTGTGTTTTCAACAGTTCAGAACTCCAGCAAATATTAATAAATTCAAACAAGAACAAAACTCTGGAGAGGTTATTGAAGTTTTACAGAGATTTTAAGAATAAAAAAAAAATACAGCATCAAACCAATGTCTAATCGACCCCTGATGCACCACCAACTAGATCTCTTCTTTTGGGAGCATCTGAAGTTTTTGAATGCCAGCAAGTGACTCGTGCTCAGTAAAATTGGATTTAGACATTTCTAGCATTTTTTTTTCAATCAGGACATTTTCCTTTTTAACTGTATTAATTGCTGTGTTCTCTAGTATTAATGAATGCCTTGTGCGTCGTTCTCAGTGGGGAAAAAAAGCACTGTTGCTCCTGACTCAGGAAGTAGAAATTAGAGGAGAGGCGGGCAGAAAACGTTTGGATCTGGAGTGTGTGCAACGCAACTCTACCATTTCCTCGTTTGCTCTGCAATGTTGATGTTTTCTCTTAAATAGCACAAGCCTAAAGGACTTCTGCCATGTTGTGGAGTTGCTAATGCTAATGCTTCTACTAGCTGAGATGTGCTCTGCTCTCTCCTGGCTGCATTTATTCAATGTAAACATTAAAGCTTAAACCTATCAAAGAGCAGCTGCACCAGTAGTCCTGATGAGTTAACAGCTGCTGAAACAGAATAACGGCACATTGAGGAGAACAACAATAACAAGCTTTGTCTCCTTTTTTTTTGGCTGAAACAAGTGGTTTTTGTCAGGTTTTGTGCCAGAACAGATAGCGGAAGGGTGCCAAAAGAAAACCAGTCTTTCAGTACAGTCCAACTTTGTAATCAGAAATTTCACGGCTGTGTTCACAGCTCATCATTTCCTTCTTTGTCCGGAAGCTGAGACGCTGCTTCATTATATATGCTTTAGGTTTCCCAGCTTAGCGAATCCCTTATTTCTGCCCCCATACCATTGATTCTTTGGCTGTGAATGCAAACATCGAGTGTATTCGTTCCTCTATTGTACAGATGTCTTTTGTTCTATTGTACAGTAGGTAAAATACATGAACTCGCATGTAAGCCCTTTATCCACCAAATCTGATTATGCGTACAAATAACATGCAGGCACATAAAAGTGTTCCAACATAAAATTCTGGGTAAACATGCTACAGCTCAGGTTTACACTGACTGCCCTTCAACTGGAACATTTCAGATAAAAACAACTTCCTTCAGCCAAATTTCTCTGACAGCAGCAATCCTTGCATTGCTCACTGAGGGGTAAAATTATGATGAAGATTGCAATAATGGCCCTGAATCAGAGAGAGAGACCAGGATGTTGCTAACAAGCCCAAAACCCCACAGTAAGGGGTAAGCCTGTTCCTAAACGTGCAATTAACCTGGATCAGTTGACTTTCTGCCCGGCGACAAAGAGAGTCACAGAATACAGAGACAAACCTGGAGTTATTAAACAGTCTGGATCAGTTGACTTTCTGCCCGGCGACAAAGAGAGTCACAGAATACAGAGACAAACCTGGAGTTATTAAACAGTCTGGTTTAAATATAGCTATGGGTGCAAATTTTACTGACTCATAATTATCTTTTTAAGTAATTGTTATCATCCCATTTGTGTAGCATATATATATATATATATATATATATATATATATATATATATATATATATAGCTGCCATAGTGGCTGGCCACCATCTTGGATGGTTCCCATTCACCCCCAGTGCATTTATTTCTACTGAGGAAGGTGTTTAAGGAACAAATAAAACCACTTATTATGCTTTTCCCACACCATCAGACATGTGGTATGGGCATTAAAGCAAAAACATAGATACAATAAAATCAAATACATTAAAAATATTCAAATATAAAATCCCAACAGGTAAACTAGAGAAGTCAATTGTAGTCCCACATAATCTATTTTCACCAGTGCGCCAGTTATTGCAACCGTAAGCTGCACCAAAAACGGGCATTGTTGCCCACCTCCAGTTGGGTTTGGAGAGTGAGGAACCCATCCAATATGTCGGCGACGCTGTTACGCCCTCCAGCGCCCAATGGCGTGTCTATGTATTCATGTCTATGTGAAAGACAAATTTCCATTTGTTTACATAGAGGGGGTGGAGCTCAAACATATTCTGCAGGGAACCACTATGAAATGTTCCAGTTTTTCTTGGCTTCAATACACATGCATACATACATATATATATATATACACATACTTATATATATACATATATATATTTTATGGGGCATAAAAGCATTTAGTCAGCCACCGATTGTGCAAGATCTCCCACTTAAAATGATGACAGAGGTCAGTAATTTTCATCATAGGTACACTTCAACTGTGAGAGACAGAATGTGAAAAAAAATCCATGAATTCACATGGAAGGATTTTTAAAGAATTTATTTGTAAATCAGGGTGGAAAATAAGTATTTGGTCACTTCAAACAAGGAAAATCTCTGGCTCTCACAGACCTGTAACGTCTTCTTTAAGAAGCTTTTCTGTCCTCCACTCGTTACCTGTATTAATGGCACCTGTTTGAACTCATTATCTGTATAAAAGACACCTGTCCACAGCCTCAAACAGTCAGACTCCAAACTCCACTATGGCCAAGACCAAAGAGCTTTCGAAGGACACCAGGAACAGAATTGTAGACCTGCACCAGACTGGGAAGAGTGAATCTACAATAGGCAAGCAGCTTGGTGTGAAAAAATCAACTGTGGGAGCAATTATCAGAAAATGGAAGACATGCAAGACCACTGATAATCTTCCTCGATCTGGGGCTCCACGCAAGATCTCATCCCGTGGGGTCAAAATGATCATGAGAACGGTGAGCAAGAATTCCAGAACCACACGGGGGGACCTGGTGAATGACCTGCAGAGGGCTGGGACCACAGCAACAAAGGTCACCATCAGTAACACACTACAACGGCAGGGAATCAAATCCTGCAGTGCCAGACGTGTTCCGCTGCTGAAGCCAGTGCATGTCCAGGCCCGTCTGAAGTTTGCCAGAGAGCACATGGATGATACAGCAGAGGATTGGGAGAATGTCATGTGGTCAGATGAAACCAAAGTAGAACTTTTTGGTATAAACTCAACTCGTCGTGTTTGGAGGAAGAAGAATACTGAGTTGCATCCCAAGAACGCCATACCTACTGTGAAGCATGGGGGTGGGAACATCATGCTTTGGGGCTGTTTTTCTGCTAAGGGGACAGGACGACTGATCCGTGTTAAGGACAGAATGAATGGGGCCATGTATCGTGAGATTCTGAGCCAAAACCTCCTTCCATCAGTGAGAGCTTTGAAGATGAAACGTGGCTGGGTCTTCCAACACGACAATGATCCCAAACACACCACCCGGGCAACAAAGGAGTGGCTCCGTAAGAAGCATTTGAAAGTCCTGGAGTGGCCTAGCCAATCTCCAGACCTCAACCCCATAGAAAATCTGTGGAGGGAGTTGAAAGTCTGTGTTGCTCGGCGACAGCCCCAAAACATCACTGCTCTCGAGAAGATCTGCATGGAGGAATGGGCCAAAATACCAGCTACTGTGTGTGCAAACCTGGTAAAGACCTATAGTAATCGTTTGACCTCTGTTATTGCCATCAAAGGTTATGTTACAAAGTATTGAGTTGAATTTTTGTTATTAACCAAATACTTATTTTCCACCCTGATTTACAAATAAATTCTTTAAAAATCTGCCATGTGAATTCATGGATTTTTTTTTCACATTCTGTCTCTCACAGTTGAAGTGTACCTATGATGAAAATTACTGACCTCTATCATCATTTTAAGTGGGAGAACTTGCACAATCGGTGGCTGACTAAATACTTTTTTGCCCCACTGTATAAATATATACTCTTCACATCAGGAAGCTGTCACCTTGTTCATTTTAGAAGAACAAAAAGGTTAAATGTAAGGTCATAATGGCAGACTGTAGCCTGTTATCTATTGCCTACTGTAGCCTTGAGAGCAAACTCAGAACGGGTCTGGTCAAATAAAATGTTTTACAAAATCAGGCCTCAGCTTTTCCTTCTAAAATGATGAATGAGAGGCTTTGTTAGTGGCGTCTGGACCATTGGTCTGGACGCACGCCAGAAAGAAGAACCTGTGAGCAGAGATTCACACAAATAGCAGAGTTTACCAGATTCCCCGTTCTGGCAGCGGCTGAGTTTAAACACAGAGTGCCAAGAGAGGGGGGTGGAGGAGAGGTCGTAGAGGAAGTGAGACAGAAGCATGTTCGACACGGCTTTAATCCCTCAGCTTTCAGTCAGGCGATTCCAGCACAGTAATAATACGGGACCTCGGAAGAGGAAGTGGGGGGCTAAAACAAAAAATAAATAAATCAAAACATAGAGACAAGTGAGGGTTGGGCTCTTCTAATTAGCACTTTACTATAAACACCCACATAAAAAACATACACCTG